GACTTAACTATAAAGCCCTCTCTATTGCTATAAGAAGTTACTAACAAATCGTCTGTGCCCACAGGGCAGGCACGATCCACCTCTGCTGGACTCCGAGCTGTTGGTCCGGGAACACACGTCTCTCCCTGTGACTAATGCGCATGGGATCAAGGAGGAAGCATTAACCTCCAGCAGAGAAAGTACAAAGCATACAGGGAAATGCTTATTTGGGCACTGGATAAAGTGCAACATTACAGCATCAGAAAAACACGCTTCTGCAGACAAATCAAGGACACTTGAGTCCTCTTGTTTCTAGAATTTGCTATAGTGTTTCAAAGCTTCCAGGCAAAACATGTAGTGTCACCCTTCATCTTGAGACATTATTGCACTCATACAGTTTTGCTGAGATGTGGGAACGCTACAATGTAACTGACCAGAGAAGAATGAGAAAATCTGTTTCAAGGATGCTCATCTCCCCCTCTTTTAAGTTCCATGATGATTTCTCCCAGTAGGAATCATTCATAGATTCCATAAATGGAGAGCCTAAAAACACACAACTTTCTGTTGTTGTGGAATAAAAGCATTTGTAAAAGATTAAACATCGTGAAGGAAACTTATGTTTTCCTTCACAAGGAAACTTATGTTTCCTTGTGAAGCTGAAGAACTAAGAAACATTAACAAATAGGTCACATGGTCAAGTGTTTGGATAATATATAACCTGAGGGCAATAAGTATCGTCAGGAACTGTGAAAATCAAATCTGTGATTGCCTTCAAATTTCCACGTTACTCACATGTGAGAGACGTCAAACTGCTGAATTAGTGACAACGTTTCACTCCGGAGTCACCCGAAGAGCAAACTGCACACAGGTTCGCGGCTGAACTCTTCAACAGCTATCAACGCTTGAAAAAAGGCGTCACGGTGAAGGGAAATTGAAGAAGCACCGGACACAAATTCACTGTGTAACTCTTAGAAAGTCTCTCTGCTAAGCAGCAGCGTGCACAAACCCACACTGACATTCTCTGTCACTCCTCCTCCTGCGAATGTGTGCACAAAAGAGCTTCACAGTTGAGCTGAAGAGTCCTGCCCTTAACTCCTCCGACTCCTCAGAGGACACGGGGGGAGAGAGAAAGTGAAGACTAAAAGGGCCAAAGTTTGGACCAAATGACTGAACTGCGGCTCACAAGCCTAGCGGAATATATGCAAAATGTTTTTCTGAGGCAAACCCTAATCACACTGGAATCCCTCTATTCCAACAACTTTTCATCCAACACTTTACTTAATAAACTGTTTTTTTAACTGTCTCGTAACAAAATATCTCTCTTCAGCCTCTGCTATTTTTTCTCTAGATACATCTCTCACGATTTCTTTTTCTCCTTATCAGTCATCTCTCCCTCCTTCTCTTTCCAGTTATTTCAGAAATATAGCAGGGTTGGCCAACTGAGGAGATGAGTACATAAGAGTAAACAAAAAAAAAAAACCAACGTCCGTCACACCGCAAAGGACTCTCAGTACAAAAATAAATAAACAATACAATCCACCCTTCACTGAAGCTGCGAGTTCAGGCTGTGCTGCACATCGGCTCCTCACACAGATTCCTGAAGTAACGAGACCGTTGCAGAGCAACAAGCTCGCAAAGAATTCAAGCAATGAGGAAAAAATCAAAAAAGTAAAGTATCAAGTCTCCCTGGGTTGGACAATACTCGTGATATGTTAGCCAGACAGCTAATGAATGAGCTAATGAATCATTGTGATGCAGCTAAAAAAAGTCACTTTTGACATGCCCTGCAATGCACCGTCTCTCAGTCTGATTTAGGTTGCGCTGTTTGACTTCTCTGACTATATTTTACCTAATCGTGAACACCAGGATACATCTGGAGACATTCACACAAACAAAGCTGTGGCTGAGAGCTCATGATGACCTGAATGAAGGGGTCAAAGTGTAAGATTAAAAGTTTTTCTCATCTTTTTCTTGGATCTTAGCGATGGCTGAGAATAGATAAACCCCAGTGTGGTCTTCGCAGCTCTGCATGCACAGCAGCTCCACCCATCTGCTGTTAAAACCTTCTGTTTTGCAAGGAGCAGCCAATCGAAAGGAAGCTGGCTCAAAGGAATGTGTCGTGGAAAGGAGAGGAGTTTAAATGGCTTGCTGTAGAGCAAAGATAAACTGAGGGTGCATTTGAATTATTCAAAGCCACTTTAGCAGGTTCCAGGAATAAAATATGGGGCTGTAAATGAGAATAATTCAAGAAATATAACCAGGAGACTCAGAACTTATTCCACCATGACTGAAATTTGACTGGCTGATTTGCATGGGCTGAACCACTGAAAGAAGGCAAAATGTACCTTAGTTATTGACATGCATGCTGTCCAAACTCATCATCCGATGAGAGACTGCCTTTCTAATATTTGACCATACTTTTTTTACTAGGCTATGAAGCAACACAAACTGTGTCCTGTCCAAACTCTCATTTACCACACACCTCTATAACACTGCATAACTAAGGGAATAAATAATGAAAGAAGGAAAAACTGAAGTCACAGTGCTGTAGGCTAGCACAGGAATTTGCATGGGAGTAATACCACAGATGACCGTTGACTTTATTACAAAGTATTAGAGGTCTACAGGTAATACTACTCATGTCTAAATCGGGCTTGTAATGTTATAGTTGTGTATAGTCAGTTGTGTAAGTGTTGTTTTGGATGTTGCTTGTTCTGCTGATGCAAGGTGCAGGCATGACAAGAATCCCTGAGCTAAAACTAACCCACAGCAGCTGAAACTGTTTTTATGCAATAAACATAATAAAAGTCAACATCAATCTTTGGAAACTAACAGCCACAGAGACACCACTTACCCAAAGTTGATCCCAGCAAAACATCAGCCCTATAATTTGAAGCTTTATGTAGTGCCCTAATAAGCTAAGGGTTCATGCAAGTAGCCTTGTGCTTTCCCAGCAGTGATCCCGACAGCGTGCAAACCCAACAACAACTCTTTTTCTTTCTAAGACTCGTGGAGATGTAAATCCAGAGCTATTTTTCCCTTCGGCTCTAAAAGTCACTCTTTCAAAGGAGTTAATTGCCTTTTCAGCACCAACAAGTGTGAAGCCAAAAAACAGTGGAAACACTTTGATTTATTGGAAACACTTTTTCCTATCTAGTCTGCGAATTATTTTTTTTCTTTAAAAGCTATTTCCACACTGAGCTCATTTGAAACCGTGCATCAGTCTGACGGTGCTGGCCGAGTAGTCACAGCACAAAAGGCTATTTAGGGATCACCTTTGAAGTCTTATCGACTACTTCAAACTCGAGTGGCTAAAAAAACAACGTGTGGGTGTGTGTGTGTTCCACATGTGCAGATGCTTACTTATATCATGCGCGCGAGTCTGTGATCTCATTAAATTCTAATTCAGATTTGACCACAGTATCATCATCAGATGACAGAAGGCAAGATGAGACAGACGGCTTGGACCGGACTGGTCTGGACACACAGATAATTTACACACACACCTTCACTGAAACAGAGTGAGCGGAGACTTACACCTGTTCTATTTTAGTAGGGCCTATTTCAAGCTGCCGCCAAGTGTTGGGTAGACACTTTATGAGCAGTGATAGAAGGAAGCCAATTGACCTCTGACCTTTAACTATTTGGGCAGCTAATAAAAAAATGCTGGAATGTTGTATAAAATGTTAGTTAAAAGTAAAAGATCTTTTTTTTTTTTAGGATTTTTTAAATATATATGGTAATTTTAAATTTGATTCCAGCAACATGTTTCTTCTTTTAACCACACTAAGTTAGAGTTTTAGAACTGTGGAGACCATGTGCTGTAGTTCCGACAGTCAAATGCTCTGCTATTATTGCTCAAGATTGGATTGTGGCTGTTCAGCAGTCCAGGACCTGCTTTTGTTACACACCACATGGACAGAAGTTCTGGCCCGCCTACACAGTACACCTACAGGAGCTGCCACGAAGCTCCCGGAAACAGTTTTTATGCTGATATTAATGAAAGAGAAGATTTTGAACTACTAACCTACATTCTGAGTCAGCAGAATGTTGGTGACTTTTATACACGATGATGTTCCTCGGCATGTGGCGACTCCACTCTATACCTTTACATGGTCTTTCGCTTCCTGGTTAAGTTGCTATGTCTCTTAAACGCTTCCACATTGGAATAATATTGCTTACAGCTGAGCCCTGCTATTTAAAACATGCAGAAAGTGATTTGGTATTGTCTTGCTGAAGTATGCAAGGGCTTCTTTGAAAAAGACACCACATGCATGGAAGCATATGTTGCTCCACATCGTTCTGCTTTAACTGGGACCCCAACAGATAACAAGCTGGATGGTTCCTCCTCTCTTTGAAGGACTTGGCGTTCTTGGGGTTTTTTGTTGTTTGTTAAATCCGAGACAAACCCATCTAACGTATGGTGCTGTTTCTAAGGGCGTAACATTGCTTCCTTTTTTGGGTGGCATAGAAAGCAGCACTTTGGTCACAGAGTGACCACGGCTCCCTCAAAAGGAAGCTTCTGTCCATGCCTGTGGCTGAACCAAGGAATGTCTCACACTGTGCTCTGGAAAGCGGTTGAGTTCGGTCCCAAGGGGCCCTCGGTTTCTCTGTGGTGATAATTTCACCACAAATGAATTCAGCGGTAGCGATGCCTCTCCTTCCTTTCAAAATACAATCCAACATTTACATTTACAACCTAAAAACTTGGTAATGCAATTTTGGGGTTATTTTTGGTATTTGTAGAGCAAAGTTTTGTAGGGCAAAATGTCTGAATGGAAAAGATCTGAATGTGTCCTCTGTATCTGTACGGTGGGTTCGGCACATGATTTAGTCCATGACTTCAATAATCCACACAGTTAAAAATAAATTAGAAAATTGTGTAAGAAAATTATTCCATAAATCTCACATGAAATCTGACTGAGAACTATCATATGGCACATCTATAAAGAGTCAGTGGATCTGATGCATTGTAACACCTGAATTCTACACGGTAAAGTTTGAAGGATAAGCATTCCTACCATTTTCACCTTCTGTGGTGTCCTCGCAGTTCTGATTGAAGTTTTCGTAGGAGTCCCAGCGGATCAGGGGATCTTGAGTGTTGTAGTCGACTGAGACACTCGGCCCGTTCTCCAGGTGGTCCACACCTTGACCAGAAGTACAAAGAGGCAGAGCAGAAAATGTGAATGTCTTTACATCCGGAAAAGGGAAAAGCTATTTTTATCAGAATAAAGGGAAAAAAAATTGAGATTCAGAATTCATATTGAGATAATTGTTTTCCCTATTCGATTACATTCAAGACCCTGCGCTAAACTGACAAGCTTTTTTTTTATTTTTTCTTTTCTTTAAACCTGGCTGGATTCTTTTGCTGCATGCTATCACCCCGTCTCACTTTTCTACCTGAAACCGTAAACTACACATGGAAGATGGACTGGTCTGGTGGTTGCTCTTGGTGAGCCTGTTTCTGCTGGAGGTTTCTTCCTGTTACCAGGGATTTGTTTTCTTCCCACTGTCACCAAGTTACTGTTCCTCAAGGATCATCATGTTGTTGGAGTTTTCTCTCTAACACTGAAGGATCTGCATCTTGAGGCAAGGTGACAGTTATTGTAAATTAAGACAATATAAGTAAAACTCTGCTGAGCTGAGCTGGACTGGACTAACAACAGTCTGGCAACCTGTCCGAATTGTACCCCACGTTGCACCCTTTGACAGGTGGAATAGGCACCAGCCCCAACGCAACCCAGAATTAGATAAGCACTAGAAGAGAGATGGATGGTTCCATTTACAGTTCAGTGGAGTCACTGTTGTATGGGGCGTATAGGAGTGAGCTAATTTTCTCAGTCATGCCAATTATGTATAAGAGTGTAGTATGGTTATGGAAAATGCTTAGTATGGCCATAAGACCCAACACATTGATCCTTACCATGTATTTTCTCTGGTCCAAAGGAGAAAATAAACTCCACTTTTCCATATTCTGGAAATCTATCATCTGCAAAGAAAAAAATAAAAAAATAAATAGAGAGAGTTTTCTCTTTATATCTAAAGATGCATATATTGTTACACTAGAAAACACATGCAGTTTTTAAAGATTATACGCCCATTCAGATGTTCAGGTTTTACTTACTAATAGGTATAAGTTCATTGTTTGCAGGAGCATTATAATGCTGTTGTCAGTAGTATTTCAGAGTTGCAAGTCTTTTACCTTTGAATGTGTCATCTAGCTCATCTTTCCCAAAGACAATCCCCAGGTCGTGAACAGCGCAGGTGTGGAATTGTACCCGGAAGATCACGTCTCGGCATGGGCTGCGGTAGCGTTTGTGGTAGCACTTAAGCTGCAGGGCGATTAAAAAAGAAAAAAGGCTAATTTGCAAGTGCATAAATCTCTTTTAGCAGATCATAACTGGGTGTCATACCAAACAAGCAAAAGTAATGCTTCTTTATTAATAATTTATAATAAAATAATATTTTTATAATATATAAAAATACTGTTTCACAGGATTCAATTCACAGGATTTTAACTGAGTGTAAGCAAAGAGACACAGCAGCCTGATTCCCTGCTGGCTCAGGTTTACTGTTTTTTTTTTGTAGCTCTATGTTTATTTTATTTTAGTTTTTTATCTGTTTCCCTTGTAATGGAAGGACCATCCACAAACATTATTATCCAAACTGGTTTTCCAAATACAGCAGCTTTAAGAGTAATGTTAAAACCACACTGAGGAAAATCGGCTCTCTCCCTCCTGCTGTTTCCTGACTGGCAGCCTTTTTTTTTTTTTTTAAAACAAGGCCTCATTTTTACGTTCACTGAAAGAAACCAAAGAACTGTAATCATTCCTTACTGTGGATGTAAAGAATAATAAAACTGACAAACAGATTATTGCATATAGACAAAGAAATTAAAAAGAATTCAGCTGCAGCTAAAATTAACGATTTTTGCTAAAGGACTGACTGACTCGACTTTCTGACTGTGGGGTTAACCATAAAACCAAAACGTTTAGGACTGAGGAATAAAAGTAAAATATCCTCTGGTTTTGTGCAGCTTTTTGGGATATCGTAAAGGTCCTGCTGAGTGGTCCATTACCGCTGCTGAGTCAAGTTTAATTACAAAATATTATTCTGCTAATTTTATGCTAACATGCCTTCAGGGCTCGACCAATTTTCATTTTTAGGTAGAGGCTTTAAACATCCCAAAATTGTTCTTCCCTCATTTGTGAAAAGGTTATTTTTAATTTGCTATTTCCCAAAATGTCAAAGAGTTTGACATTTTGGGAAACTGGCTTATTTGCTTTCTTGCTGATAGTGAGAGAGGCAAAGGGATCAGCTAGTGCCAGGAGATGGTTAGCTTAGCCTAGCATAAAAACAGGGAGGGTTAGCTTAGTTCTTTCTGAGGGTTAAAAAAGCCATATATAATAATCAATATTAAAACTCAAGAAATTTTTTATCATAATGACTGTATTTCTTCTTTCATGTGTATAAAAGGCTCATATTTGCACTGAAAAGTCTCTGTACACAGAGACTAGCAAACTTTTTCTAAAAGCAAACGTTTTTTACATTTAGTTTTGTTCCTGTACCCTCATGACACTCTGCAGGCCTATGATTCTTTTCTCTTTCAGCAATTCTGTTATAGATTTGCTACTGTGCTTGAGATCATTGTCCTGTTGCATGACCCATTTTCAGTCAACTTTTTGCTACCGGACAGATGGCCTCAGATTGCCACTGCAAAGTGTCCAGGTCCTGTGGTTATAAAACAAGCCAAATCATCACCCCTCCACCACCATGCTGACAGTATGAGGAATGTATGAGAGGTGTTGTGCAGACATGCTGAGTGGTCATATTGTCTGAGTGGCAAGTGGTCATATTGGTTGACGATCAGTTAATCAAATGTGCAGCTGGCTGTTATTTACCTTCTTAATTCAGATGGAAGCAGTGATATTAGTCCTGCTAAAATTTACTGTACATGTCAATGACCTTTAGCAGTGCCAAGAGGTGGATTTTGTTACACTAGGGCAGACACTTTTTTACTAATGCAGTTTATGTTAATGTAACCATCTGCTGCTCATTAAAGAGTGGCTTCCATCTTCTCCATTCTCCAAGAAAGCCACTAAAGATTTTCCCAAAATGTTGAAATGGCCTAACTTGTTATGGTCTTTTAGGTTTAAAGTTTCATTATAAACCCAAATGCAAACTTTAAAAAGATCATTAAAACAATTAACAAACCAATGCGAGGTTCTTCTCTGCAATTATCTTTAATCTGACCAATTAGATATACAAAACCATCACAGTTAAAAATGCAGGAGCACTCTGTGCTAATGTCTCCTCAGGCAGCAGTTCAAATTTTCCCTGTTATTTGAAAAATAACAAGCATCAGCAAGCAGTGTCTCAGCCTGACGGTGCATTCAGCAGAATCCATTAGTCTGTGTTAAATAAAGGATGAGATATGAGTTCAGCTTTGAAGGCCAAAACAGCCTCAGGTACAAACTAAGTGCTCACTTTCTAATTCTTCATGCTGACATTATGAGCCCCGAGAACATCCCATAGATAACATTATGGCTCAATTGACAGCAGAAGCAGAAACGTTGCTGATGTGTGGAGTTTTTCTATAGGCAAAAGAAAACCAGCGGCTCTCACAGGTGCTGCTAAACTGAGGATCTTTCAGGAATGATTTCATAAAAATTCCCTGAATCTCCCTGAGAGAGTTGCAGGGATAGGTCTCACATGAGACTTTGTTTGAAATGATTATGTCCTGTTATAGCGATACCTCATGTATCCTTAAATGCTGTTTTAAAGGAAGTACACGGCCTTTTTCACGTCATAGTTTCCAGCAACATATTGTGTGCTAATGAGGGCCTATAAACCGAGGTATAGGACTCAGTCCAACTGTCTTTTCCCAAGTTTTTACAGCCCCATTTCATCTGTAAATGGCTACTATAAACTGCTGCAGCACATGCATTCAGTGCATTAAGCCAACGTTCAATTGGAAACACACACAGGATTCCCTCATTATTATTATCCAATAAAAAAATCTGAATATCCTGCATGTATTTTACCCTTATCATTTGGTATCCATATATTTTTCCCTTTTCCTCTGGCAGAGGTAAAACAATAAACATTCAGTGTTACTGGCTTCACACACTGAGCTTAGCCAGTGATAAAATGTTGAGATTTGGTTTCTTTGTTTTGCAGTTAAAATCCACGGAAGCCAAATGATTTAAATTTTACAAACAGCTGAAAGATTACTGAGGGTTTTTATCAGTCTATATTGTACAGTACTAGCTTCTGGGGTATGTCTCTGCTGTTCTTACCAGGATGTCCCCCTTCAGAAGGAGGCCAGGTTCAATGGTGATGCAGATGCTGGTCTGGCTGTCACCCTGGACATTACTGCAGAGAAATAAAAACACAACATGTCACATGACAGGCCCGCTTTTATCATTCTTGCTGTGGAAATCATGACAGCAAGTCCACTGCACCAGCTTTTGTTTCTGATGCTACTTCCCTGGATAAAACCATGTGCCAACAACAATCACCCTTTTTTTCCCCACTTTAACAGTGGCCTTCACAGAGCGTAGCCCGTGGTGTTTTGGGGTATTAGTGCCTGTCTGATTGTATTGTTGGGAAAGAAGGATCAAAGGGAGGAGAGTGCCAAAAGGGAGCATGTGAGAGAAAGTGAAGAGGAATGTGATTTCACCAAAGCTTTAAAGAGTATGGAAATGTGTCTGCACTGATTGTTTCACAGGAAATGTAGCGTCATTGTGCAACCATCACCAGGCTTTGTTGTTTTGAATAAGAAGAGCAGTAACAGTGAAAAGACCAAAGAGTTTAAAACTGAACTAAGAAATATTGGATCCAATGACCATTTCAGATGACGAGATCATTGAGTCAGAATATATATTGATTAATCATAGTTGCTGTCGTTTTACAAGGTAATGTTATGGTTGTTATTCCTAAACAACCTTAATTCAATACTTTTGCTCAACCTTTGAATCAAAGTTGAAAGTCCTAAATAATAATGTTTCCAAACAAGGTGTAAATGCAGAATGTGTGCCTGCCTCACCTCTCAGAGGACAGTACAGCTTTCCCTGCCTTTTTCCTAACCTCCCCTCTTTCCAAAAACAACAACAGAGAGCCACAGAATCCTTTCTTTCCTGTCTGGCCCTGAGAACCAACAGGGTCCTGTGGCATGAAAACCCTGCAGGCGTCCACACAGATGCCTGTCTGCCTCTTTCATTGGTTCTCCAGTCACCAATAACATTAGACGTGATTACGGGATCTAAAGTGGGGAAACAAGAACCTACAGCTGGGGAGGCTAGCTAAATACAATAATGTGGGCCGAGTGAGAACTCTAAACTGGAGAGAGGGGTGCTGTGGGTGTATATCAGGGGGCAGGGGGGAGTAAGAGGAGAGGCAATAAAGGAAAATCAGCGTTTTTATTATTGAGCCATTACGAGCTCGCTATCCCTGGAATCTTGTAAAAGCAGTTGAGTGTGACTGCTTTTTAAGACTTACTAGATCCCAGATGTGTAGATGGGCTGCATGGCCTGGTAGATTTTGAGAAAAGGACGACAACCTGGGACATAAAAAATGCATTTAAGAAAGGGGCTCAAAGCTAAATTATGCGTGGTATATGTGTGTGTGTGTGAGAGATACTCGCCTCCCTTGGACTCAAAGTTGGGGATGCCGTGCATGATGACGTGATGGAGGAACAGCGGCTTGTTGTTGATCTTGATGTGTCCGGACAGCAAGCCGCTAAAGTACTCCACATACCTGAGTGAACAGAGGGAGAGAAGCAGCGGGGATTAAAGTGATGCCCAGTGTTTGACCACTAAAGGATGAACATGTAATCCAAGACACAAGCTTTCACTTTGACCTTTAGCTTGTCAGTCATGTCAAAGGAGCCAAAAAACTTCATGCATCAAATGGTTTAAAGTGGCACTAATCACAAACTATATTTACTGAGACAGATCCAAAGACAACTGCCACCCAACTCTGCATGTTCAGCCAATTATGAATCTTTGATTTTGGTTATCTGCCAACCAACGAACACAACTATGAATCCACCACAGAGGATCTTATAGCAGCTAAAAAGCCTTTCTTTAAAAAATTAGTGGCGAATAAGACTGACCAAAATTCATAACAGGGCAGAAATGCGACTCCAAATGAAAATGAATCTTAACAAATCTCAATCTCAAAGTCTACGCGTGCAAACGATTCTTGAAAGTTCACACTTTGTTTGTGGTTCCTTCTACTGCCCCCCGGAGGCCATTAAAATCAATTAATGCGGCTTTAAAAATGTAGTGAAGTGACACAAGGGAGAGAGTTCACTCAGGGGTCAAACTTGAAACAACATTGGAGGGAAGACTGACCTTTTCTGAGATGGCTGACCCACAGGAAGCACTTTGTCTTCATAGAAGCGTTTCATGGCAAACCTGTCCAGAGCCTGGTCGGCACTGCATTTTGAAATAAAGTTTTGTTAGAGAACATTTTCTAGTCCATTTCCATTTCAGTATTTCTGGAATGTTTTTTTTTAATGTTTTTTTTTCCTTTATTTAACTGGGAATTCCTTTGATACAAAAAGCTCTCAGGGGGAAAAAAGGCAGCCGTAAGGTTGCAAAAATTAGAAAGTTGAAAATAACAAAAACAGACATGAGTAAAAAAACAATGAAGATCAAAATAAGCAGTGAATGCAACACAAAGTTCAGCTTAGAAAGTTACTAGTTTTCTATGAATAAACTTTTTTTTAAATTCCTACAAGTCATGATTTGAATAAATTAGAAAAAAAGAAAATATGCCACATAAATGACCCCTGTAGAGTATTAGCTTGATAACTAGAGGAGAGAAAAGCAGAAGTAACCACAGTAGGTCTATTCATGATTTGTTAGAGATCAGAACAATGTGCAGCTGTTGGAAATGTGGATATCTTAGAATAAGTAAGACAACAAATAAAAGAATGTCATTAATACATTTTTCTTGTTTTTTCCTTCAGTGTACTATGCTATACGTCCCACAAGAAACTAATGACAGCTGTTCTACTTAACCTCAATGCAAAGAGTCAATCAAAAGCTTTGACCATAAATCAACTTTTCCCTGCACATCTGGCACATCACAATTTCACAGTTGTTTTCTGTTTGAAGCTCCTTTACCTTAGCCTGCAGGATAATGGAATAACAAAGGAGCCTGACAGCTGTGCAGGAAAGTACGACGTTTTTGGGATTTTTTTATGACCAATCGTGTCATTTTAAAAACAACGTTGATTCGTGCTCATCTGGTTGTTTCTTTACGAGGAGGTCATTCTGTTAGTGGTCCTATCTAAGAAACAAAGCCAACACAGAAAACGAAAAGCAGCTCACTTATAATCTGAGTCGCATGATGCGGTGTCTCTTAGAACTTAACTCACTTTAGCTCACTTTTATAATTATGACATCAGGAACTGTTCTTTTGATTTACCAGAATTAAACTGGTGGTCTTCAGTCTCATGTTCTAACCCCCCTCCTTCTGCCTCATCACATCTTTAACTGTACTTCAGATGTGGGCTTCAAACCTGTGAACAATGCAGGCTTATTGAGTTTTTCCTCTTAAGCCTGTCCTCATGTAACCCCCCCTCCCCCTTGTTTTCCAAAAATGCCAGATTTCATCTTCACGCCTTCTCTTTCTGACTTTCACTCCACTTTTTAAGTGGCCGGGACATGTGACTTTAGCTCCAGCTGCAGCTGGGATCAGAGACCTACCTGGCAGATATGTTGCTGTAATGCATGTAAGCCGCCACCACCACTCCTGTTCTGCCTCGATTGCCCTGAAAAGACATCAGTCAAGCACAAGTAAGCTAATTTTATCTTCATCTCATGATGGTCAAGCATGCAGAAAACAATATTGTTATGGATTTCTTCTCTAGGTATTTCAGGCACTAACTGTGTAATGTCCAAATATGTTTAATGGTTATTTTAGTCATGTAGAATATAACAAAAGACATAAAATTAATTCAAAGTTCAAAAGAAGCAAAGAGGTACAGATATCATTCCCAGGTTAATGATAGCCATCAAATTTACACAATAAGGACCAAATGACCCTTATTTTTACAGGAACTGCAACATTATTTAGTATCACGTTAGATAGGGTTGTTCTCTTTTTAAAAGTAATTTTATTTTTGTTAAATTTCAAGAAGGGCATGTCCTTATTTACAGTTCAGTTCCACCACAGGGTGCTCCACTTACACTGAGGTCCAGAAATACTTGAAGAAAGAAAATCTGTTGTAGTTTTGGAAATTTAGGTGTGACTGTGTGTTAAAACGTCTGAAATTCCTAAATACTTGTGCAATACTTTTGTTAGACACCTTGAATTAAAGCTGAAGGTGTGCACATACAAAGTATGATATATGCACTGTTGCAATCAGACAGTTATGTTTGATGTAGGCTAATTGAAAAGTTGATACAGAATGTTAAAAGTTGCTTTATGCAGGTATACGTAACTTCAGAACACATCAACTTTATGCATATTAAATGTCAAAATTTTCCAATAGAAAGTTCTTATTTGGAGTCAGGCTCCTAATGACACTGTATTTAAAATAATCTAGCATATTATGTTATACAAAGTCATTAAACTATGGCCTTCTTTAAAAAAAAAAAAAAAAATGCTGTCAGGAATGCAGAGATTCAAAAACGGCAAAAAAAAATTTCTGTCATGGTAGATTCCTTGGATAAGTCTCCAGACCCCAGCCGAGAACATTGGGACTCTCCAGAGCCACAGAAAACATTATACAACTATTTTCACAAGCTGAGCCCTCCGCGTGACCAGTAAACGGACCGTTTTGTGTAAAACTGGTGAAGTGGCCCACGTCTGGTTGTAAAAAACGTCTGCATATTTGAGCGTGTATATGTGTCCAGGCACGTGATACTATGTCAACAGAGACGGCGTTCATTTTAACCCATCTATCCGCCTTTAAAATAAAGCTCGTGGTGGCGAATGAGTGAGTTCCACATTATAAATATCGCGGCAGCTTTAACAGCGTGGAGCCCAGTGGAAATGATTTGTGGAAACCAGCACGGTCAGCTTCCTTAGTGACCAAACTGTCGTTACTCGACTGGCAGGAAAAAAATCAAAAAAACAACAGCGGTTGCTACAGCAGCCGACTTGTTAGTAGCCTCCCTGTGGGAATGTTTTAGGATCCCATGGTTAATTCCTATGTTGCAAAACACAATCAGGAACAGAGCGGGGTTAACGTGAAAATGATTAGGTATTACATTCGGGACGGCAGCCTAGTAGCTGTATTGGATATACTCTTTATGGTGTGTGTCAGCACACTGAGGCTTCCCACAAGCGCATAATGTGATCCAAGTAAGTTTAGGCAACAACAGGAAAATATCGGTCACTTTAGTTTTTATGGTATTGTTAAGGGTAAAAGGGGTAAATAAACCTAAGTAGCCATGATGACTGGCATGCCTTACAGCCTTAATTTGTGTTTTCCTAACCATCATCCAGCCCCAACAAGCATACAAAGAGACGCACTCAGTGTCAGTGTTTCACTCAGATGGAACATCATTAGAAGCACACATGCACAAACAGCTGCAGCCTCTGAGGGGTCGTGAAAAGAGCCTGAGAGCACCCTCTACTGCCTGCAGTCATTGACTGTTTTTACAGCATCTTCTCGTTTTTCACTCTTACCTTATTGTGTATAACCACAACATTGTGGCTGTCCGCACTCAGCCACGTGTCCATGGCCTTACAGATGCTGCAGATTTTGTCCAAGGCTGGAGCGTGGTGGTCGGGCCAGCCAAAGTCCAGAACCTGAGAGAGGAGGAGAAAGGTTGCTGTTCATACCGGTGGTCATACAGTAACAAAGACAAAGAGAGGAGATGTTAAGCAGGCCGTTGTACCTTTGGATTGAGTTGGCTGATGTCATAGCGCTTCTCACTGAGGTTGAAGAGCTAAAGAAAAGTACAAATAAATATTACACAAGATATTAAATGAGAGAGGCAGGGCACTCTGGGAATCCTGAATACGAAAATATTAGAGAATTCGTACAGCCAAGCCAGTAAGCAACTGAACCAAACATGGGGGTTCATGATATGAGATGTACTCATTATCACCTCGGTCTTTGGTTATCATAGTAAAGGTAAGGGTACATATGTTTTTATTTGCCTATAATCTGAGTTGGAATCATATTTGTTCAGTGTGTTTGTGGGATGAGCCAGAGGGAATGATACACCACACATTACAGCTACAGGGCCATGGAAACCCGTGCCATGAAGCTCCTGGTGCACAGCTTCTGTGCTGATGTTCATCCTAGAGGAGGTTTGGAGCTCTGTAGTTATTGGCAGCTTTTAGGCATTATGCACCTTGTGTGTGAGTTGCTGATTCCTAAACGCTTACACTTGGCAATAATAAAGTTTAAAACAGATTAAGGAATATTTAGCAGTAAGAAAAAACTCCATAAGCTGACTTGTTGCAATGGTGGCACCTTATTAATTCAATTCAAAAGACCACTGAAATTAATGCTATGGCTCTCTTCCCATTTTATTTTCGGGCTTCTATCAAAATATTGTCAAGAGGCGGGACCAAGATGGCAACCAAATGTCAAGGCTTGCTTCATGAAGAATTTTGCAGGCTTTTGAGGCATGCTACATGCACATAGTCAAGTAACAAGGATTAAAGTGTATATGGATTTGGGATTTAAAACTTCAGACAAAAGCTGTCTCATCATTTGCAGTAGAAATGACAACTCTCATTGACCGGTTTTATTAGCTATGATAGATTACTAACAAAGTAGAGAGAGAAATTGATAGAAAACTCCATTTCTGGCTGACTTTAAAACATTTCAAGCTAAATAAGAAAGCATCAAAGCATCTTTATAGTCTAAATCATATTAACAATACTACCATGGAGGAAATATGGGATTAAACTAATTGTTGTCAAACAGGACAGAGCTAGCTACTTCTATATGTTACAGTGCAACATAATGTTAGCTTTTTGCTTTAATGTTTTTGATTCCAAAGTCATGTTTCACTAAACTTCAGAGAAAAGACGACTATATTTAGCGGGGTCATTGTGGTTCAGTGAATAAAAATCATGTGCTTTTAACATCACCCAAACTCGAACGAAGCCATTTTTAGTATCCGGCGATGGTGTTAAATTAGCCAACACATCATGAATGAGTCAGTCCTGAACAGAGTTTCTTGTAACTCAACCTGTAACTCAATAATGTAGTTAGCCGTCAATGAACTAACTGTTGCCCTTGCTGGGAAACTTCTCTATTAAACTGGCTGGTTGTGCTAGTTTTGGTGACTAAAAGTGTATTCATTTCCTCCCTTTCACCCATGTGTGTTTGGATTTGCAAATGCAGTAAGAAAGACTTACTTTAAAGATATGATTGACTCTTAATAGATAACAGCAGTGTCAAGTTGGAGTTGTTTAAGTTTAGCAAAAGATTAAATGCACACATTGACTGAGGTTGTGTCCCCGCTGCCCAGCATGGGTTATATCCTACACTGCTAACAGATACAGGAAGTCACAGTTTTGGGGTGTTTTCTATGTCTAATAGCTTTGCTTTATATTGGTAATTAGAACTTTGTAAAAAGGATTTACCAGTAACTGAAGAAATAACATGTTTTTCATGGGGGGGGGGTTTGTGTATGATACTATCTTTATGTCATTCTGCCGCCAATATAATCAATCCAGGACTTTTTCGGCCACCTAAAATATCTTTATACTGTTATGTTATTTATTTATTGTAATTTTTGCTCCCCTCTTGGCCAGATCCTGCTTGAAAAATACATCTTTTTTTAACCTCAATGAGACTTTTTCCCCAAGAACTGTCTCTAACTTCTGACAGGAATGTTCTTTCTGGCTCAAAATAACTTTTATGAGAGATATAATTAAGATCTGTTTGGCAGATAATAGGACAACAAATCATTTACAACAGTTTAAATGCAGGCAACCACTTTTCGGCCCAACAAAAAGCAACAGGAGCGATGCTTTGAACAACGAAGAGTGAGGCAGGTATCACATGCAATATAAAGTATGCAGATGTTATATAACCACTCTGTTAGGTGAATATGTGGTTACACCTTAGCTAAATGAGCTGATAATGACTTTTTATAACTATTCGGTTTTTCTGAAACCCTACCAGGTAGTTGTTCCCGTGTTTTGATCGCAGCATGGAGGCCACCTCCCTCAGGTTGGCAGCGTAGCTCTGCTCCTCCACATTGCTGGGGAAGGAGACAGAGATGATCCGCTCTGTGATGTAGATGAGGTCCAGCTCGTAGCTCTCCTCCAGGGCCTGCAGCAGACTCGCACTCCTGCAGAAAAAAGAAGTAATTCTGAGTATCAGCTGATAGAAAAACCAATGCAGGTCACCGGACTGCAAAAGATAGCTTTAATACCCCGAAGTAATGCAGCACATGTGATTTATACACTGCAGCTGAATGGCTTTAACCGAAGACTGCCAAAAGGATGAAAGCTGGTCAATTTTAATTAGGTAGCAGTTTTTGTTTAATTTATACAGATACTGGATACACGTCTGTCCAGTTCATGTTATATGGGCAGAGAGGGCTGCTTTACTAAAGATGGTAGCAGTCCCAGTTTGTTTTAGGCAATAACATTATTATGGACACAGTCATTTCTTACAGAGAAATGTCACAAGACACGTCTTCTTCTGACGTAATTTCAAGCTTGTACTTTAACTTCACATCTTCAGAGTCACATATTTGGAGCCCAAGGCAACAAAAAATGATGTGGCTTCATACGTCATCTGTAAACTGAATGTCCGCAGTGTTGCAAACAGAACACAACATTCTTTCTTTAAGTCAATATGGAACACATATCCTAATATGGAGAAGGCAATACACCATATAAATACCAAATCCACAATGACATCACTAAATCTCAGCGGGGTTCATGCTCTCCCTGCTGCATTAAACACAAGTCATGTTCTTAGACTGTCTGCAAAGAAAAGCGAGCGAGGAGAAGGTGACGCATCCGATGAACACACCAGGGGGCTGCGGGATATGTGGACCACGCAAACTGATGATCAGTGATGAGCAAAAGTGTTTTGGTTGTTGTTCTGCTGAGTCTTTTTTCCCCCTCATTTGGTCAGATTAGATCTAAAAGGGAGAGATTAAGGAGGACCAGATGAAAGGGATGTCAGAATTCCCTGATTGATCCGTAATTTACTCTCAGGCTCTTGAGAAAATGAGAGCAGGTGTTGCTCTTTGACTTTTCCAGATGTCTAAACAACACAGAGATTTGGTTAAAAAGCGAAGGAGCAAACAAGCTATTTTTTCAGTAATCTGAGGAGATTAGCAGAAAAGGATGTGCTTTTACAGCTAAATATTGGAGAAAAGTCCATTTAAGACCAACATGCAGCACTAGCTGAGTCGTGCTTACATGAAAGAAAGATCCTTAAAACGTGGCATCAACTTCTTTTATGCTTAAAAAAAAGTTATCTGCATGGCTGGAGTGGCTCTCAACCAAATTAAATGTCATTTGTTATTAATTAGTGGATGGTTTACTCACTTTTGAATCACATTTAGTCTTTTTTTAATCCCTCTTTTCAATGTTTGCTAAAAGATGAATTTTACTTTACAAATCCTTCTTTTTAAAGGTCAGGACTGATCAGATTTACCTCAGACACAGCATCCTTGTAATTATTTTTGTGTACAGCACTTTGTTTCTGCTGCGTCTGTTTTTAAAATGTTTACTAAATAATTTTGGGATAGTATGATACTGTATGGTACCGATGGACGTCTGGTGCTTGGGCTTGTCCCCAAATGTGCTGCCCACAGTGTGTTTATAGTCTTTAGAGTGTAAAATATATTTCATTGTTACTTTTACATTTCTCACTGATATTGCTCTGAAGACGTACTTGAAAAATTTTCTTGTCTTTATTGATTTGTGACATTTTTCTGTCACCCTTTCATTTGTGATATGATTGCACAGGTTGCGCGGTGGGAGGCAATCTGTCTGCAAACAATCACAGACTGACTGTATTCACTCTCAGACAAATTTGCAAAGGTTTGCAATTAACTGCCATCTAATTATTAAACAGATCGCCAACACATTGCAATCAGAGTTGATCTGAAATTTGTTAATTGATATATTCTGTTGTATTGCCAAATATTTGCCAAAAAGATTGTTGATCAGGTTTTGTGGGTTTTTATTAGAAGGATCATCACATGCAAGATTTATGCAATATTGCTGTGAATATACGCAAGTTACATTTTTTTCTAATTTCCTTGCAGATGTCTGGATTTGGTTTAGTTATATGGGCTGAAGTCATTTTGCAGGCTGAGATGTAGAGCCGTACAGGTGTCCTCTGTGACTCACCGTCTCACTAGCAATAAACAGACCTCAACTGATCAAACCTCTTTCCGACTTTTGCCTTTGCAGAAAAATATCAACCATAAAGAGGCCATAAAGAAGTGAAGTGGGTGAAGTGAAGGTGGGGAGTGAGTTGAAGAGGTTGCAGGAGAGGTGTCTGGAGCCAGACTGCAGCATATTTCCCACATTTGTCAGCTGTGAGTAGCCCCTGAGGAAATTGCTCATATGTCTGGGAGAGGGGATCGCTCCAGCTTTACTGTTCAAATACTGTAACCTGCTTTTTTCTGTACATCTGGAGCCACTCAAAACATGCTTACTGGAAATTATTCATCACTTCAGATAAAAGAAATTGATGTGTCGCACATGTCTCTACTGTGCTGAGACAGAAGTCTTATCAAGTTTTTGAAAATATTTCTTTAAACCTGCATCTCCTCTTTCCCACCATTTCCTTTTCACTCTCTTGCATCTCCTTGTGTATGCCTCTCACCTCTGAGTGCAGTCAAAGCCAATATACTGTAGACCTGTGGTTTGGTCCCATTCCAGATTCACCAGCATGTGTTGACCGGCTGAGTGCCAACCTGCTTCTCATCAGCTGAAGAGATTAAGCGATTGCTCCTTTTCTGCATACCGCATTTGACGAATGACGCATTATCTCTGCATGCTCAATTTCAGTGCTGCACTGATCTCGTTTGTCAATCCAGACAAACACTGAACCTTTTTTTTTCCTAAATCCAGAAACCTTAGACATTTAACTGTTAAAAAAAATCCCCCAAGATATCTGCAATAAAAGTCAACAACCGGGATTTCCATGGTTTCTTCCATTCAAAATACGGAGCACCCTACTTGACTTCAGCTTATAATCATACTTGTCATACTTCCTGATGGGTATAAACATATTACCACATATTTTCTCATGACCCAAAAGGTCAATTGGCTCGTCCAAGTTAAACTCGCTACTTAGACTGATTTGACCTTTTCTATTATTAATATTTTGAGTTTCTTAAGCAAACGACTTAACACCATGCGCTATTCATTTTTTCTCTGCATTAGTTACAGATGCTTTTCACCTCTATATGTTAAATATTATATAAACGTGATGCAGAAGGAATAGTTCACAATGACAAATTGTAATATAAGACCGCCAAGCTCCCAGGGATTTAAGCCCATTTTAGCTTGTTTTGGTTTTCCAGCAACAGGCAACTGTTTTCAGGAGAGACTTATTGTATATTCCCTTTCCAGCACCAAACAGTAAACAGATAAAAGTAATAAATATCTTTTTTACTAGTTAAATATTTCAGTACTTCCCTAGAAGGTGATGAAGACAAAAATACACCGGAAAATGGTTACATTTGTATACCTATACCGATAAACCATCGTAAATCCCAAAAAGTTGATTCTGTTCATCTGGACGTAGCGTCGTCAGTCCATGAAGAATTCACTTGGATGAGTGACGAATCATTTCTCCCACTCAAAACGCTACGTCCAGATGAACAGAATCAACTTACCGGATTTATCCTTACCGGGGTGATTCAGCATGGATCAAGACAAACTATCTTAAAGTTAGGTAGTTTGAACATTTGCTTCGAATGAGAGCAAAAGGAAACAAACTCAGTGCTTCTTTTTTGCAAGTAGCATGTCTAAAAGTCTTCAGTTGAAAGATCTGTGCACCACATTTCAGAATCAGAGAACGTATGTAATAATATCTGCAATGTTGCATGACCACAGCTGTCAAATTAACCTGTCACTGTAGATGTGTTATGATATGTTATGTTTACCACAAGTGAGAATTGTGGTTTTCTTTAGCTTTGATAAAAAAATAAAAATAATACTAAACATGTTGTCTACACTACCTAGTTATTTAAACTAAGTAGGTACCGGTAGGTAGTATTACCCAAACACTTTTATTTGTAGGCTTAGAGGACGGCGTAGCAACACAAACCTCCACGCAAATACAAAGTGTGATCATAGGAATGTACCAAACCTGTCTGAACCCAGAGTTTGACTGGATTAGTTAATTTAGCGGGAGGATTACATCAGACAACTGTCAATGATTCTGATGTTAGGCACTTAAAAATTTTTTCCTTTATATGGATGGAAATCAGGTGTAATCCTCTCAGTAAATGAACTCACACGTTCTTTGCATGGGCTGTTAAACCTGCTGATGTTCCAGATGTTGAACTGTTTTTATTACCTCATATCATCTAGGTGAATTGCTGCGAGGGAGCCAAACTGTCATTCAAGCTTCGCACAGCACACAGTTGTGTTGTGCCATCAAGTCTGACACATTAATTACACAACTGACAACATGTGTGACTCCCTGAGGACCGAGGCTGACACCAGATATCTTTATGTCCAACAACACACCGAGCGGTCCAGTTCAACAGCGGGGCATGTTGCTTTTACAGTGTCCCCTGGTAAAAATCGGCCAATATCACATTACATCTAAACTTTTCATTTTCAGATTCCTCACATTATCAAGCAGGACGCAGAGAACGCACAGAGCTAAGCCTGATATTTATTTCACCCCCCCTTATTATAAATCTGCACTTTTGCTGGAAGCAGGAGAGATCGTTTTCTAAAATAATTAAACAAACGCAGCCGGATAATCCAAATGAAGCCTTTTATGGGAAACGTGGAGAGAAGGGAGGAAAAGTAGGAAAACTCAAAACTGATGAGGAGGACAGGAGACAAGAAAGAAGGGAAGCTACCTCGATGGCCTGCGCCGTGACTCCATGCTCTTTGAGGATTTTGTTGAGCCCTGCAATCACAAAGAAAAACTTTATTAGTATTCTTTGCATGCACACAAAGATGTTTCTCAACAAGCTGTTACAAACATTCATACACCAAATAAGGAAATCAGTTAAAGAGACGTTCGAATTATTAAAATGACTGCTTCACAGTCATCCATGTAACCAGCTCAGCCTTGCTGGTAAATTTGGATCTTCTGAAATTTGGAAAATAATGGAGCCTTTGATTTTACAGATTACAGCAGAGCATAAATGTAAATCATAATTATTGTAGCTGTAGCAGAATCACAGACTGGTTAGGGAGGTCCGTGGGATGCATCCCAGTGAGAATCAGAAGAATGCTGCACACACAACAACTTGTCAATCACTAACTAAAGCACTACCTACTTTACCCTCTAATAGAGACCATAATTTACAAAATAAGCATTATGTTGTACTGAGTAAGACTTGAAACTAGTGGTTGAGGTCATAAACTCATCAGTAAAGTGTTTACTGTAGTCAGCAATCAAAATGGTAAATGACCTGTATTTGTATAGTGCTTTACGAGTCCCTAAGGACCCCAAAGCGCTTTACACATCCAGTCATCCACCCATTCACACACAGGTGATGGAAGCTACATTTTAGCAGAGGCGAGGCTGCCGGACACCAGCGCCACCGGACCCTCTGACCACCACCAGTAGGCAACGGGTGAAGTGTCTTGCCTAAGGACACAACGACCGAGACTGTTCAAGCCAGGGCTCGAACCGGCAACCTTCCGATTACAAGGCGAAGTCCCAACTCTTGAGCCACGATCGCCCCGGCAAAAGAGTCGAGCATAATTTTCCTGTACACTTTTATATAACCAAATATCTTATATTTAGAGACAGCGTGTGCCTCTCACACATATCAGTACTGAGATATATGTTGTGTGATATCTGGACTTTATTTCTTTATTATTTAAAAGAAAATTGATGCTCGATGTAATTTAGAGATGTGTTATGGCATCATTTGCACTCCCCTCAGCGCTGTCCGCAGCACATGTAATAGGAGCAGCAACACAACTATTTGTGGAAACCGAGGAAAGAATGACTGCATCACTTCCCCTTTTACTATAATTTCAACATACCGCATGTAGATCTTTAAAGAAAACAATCCTGAAAATCCAGAATCAGCCAATCAGGCTTCAATCTGTGGAGTAGCTGAGGTAATGATACTAACAGAAAACTCCGACGACCTTCACCTCGACACGGCAGATCTTCTTACTGCTCAAATGAGACTGTAAACGCGTGCTCGAGCCAGCTGTCTCCAGTCCTGTGATGTTATACTGTCTAACAGGCAGTTAGAGTTTGAAATAGTTTTCATCCCTTTAGAAAATAAACACTCTGAAAGACAAAGATCTGATCACTGCTGCAGAGTGTGTATTATACCTTAGGAAGGGAAGGAGGGGGAAGTCTCTTATATGAAGCTGTGTAGCGCCATGTGAGAAAGGCTTCACATGGCACCTTCATAGAGCAAAGCAGAGGAAGTGTGGCTGAAAGTGACCGGCTGTGTTTGGCTCCACTAAGCCTGGCCCGCCTCGCCCCCCCACTCAGACCAGCTTGAGGAGGGGGGTCAGAGGGCACGTGGACTTATTCACTCTCCTGTGATGTTTGGGTCACATGTACACAGGAAGGGGCTGTTATCCGTCATCATCCATTATATCAGATTGGCTGGCTAACCATCAGTGTCAAGAGCACCACTGACCTTCCTGTATGAGCATTAGTCTGCTCTGCTCTCCTAACAGCCGACTGTCGCTGAGTGAAGAACTGACACTCTGTTAGAAATGTGAAACCTTTTCTCATGTTTCATATAATAGTCTTAAAGGTTTCTAAAAGGGAGACTCAGGTTGAGATTGTGCTTGTCTGTTTATGATTTTTTTTTAGAAAATCTTTATGCAAAAGTATCCTGGGCCATGATGGTACAGGAAACAGATGGAAACTACAGCCAGAGGACCTTCTTTCTACTCTGTTCGATTAAGTTTTATTTATACAGCGCCAAATCACAACAACAGTCACCTCAAGGTGCTTTATATTGCAAGGTAAAGACCCTACAATAATACAAAGAAATCCCAGCAATCAAACGACTGCCTATGAGCAAGCACTTTGCTGACAGTGGGAAGGAAAAACTCCCTTTTAACAGGAAGAAACCTCCAGCAGGATCAGGCTCAGGGTTGGCGGCCATCTATAAGGCGACAGCTAACCACTGAGCCACCAAAACAGATATGTCAATAGTCAGGGCTAAGCATGACCTTTTGCTCCATTTTCCCATTACTACACCTTCTGCTGATGCACAAATACTACACACCAGTAGAATTAAAAACAACAGGTTCATAAAAATACACATTTAAGAAAAATAAAAAGTAGGACTAAATAAGATCGAGGGTAGAAAAACTGAACACAACAGAAAGCTTCACTTTCAGAGATCCTGGTTCCCCTAATAGCAGCTTCCACGTCCCCGTACCAGAGCATTTAACCGGGAAATTGCATTTTTATCACCGTGGAAGGCTTTCACTAGATCAACTGGTGATAAATGACATTAAAGCAGCTGTGGGGAGGTTACTTAACTCTGGTCCAACGTTAAAACCTCCTAAATTCTTGGGAAATCAAACCTTACAGTTACAGTTATTATCTGGCATTTCAACATCCCACAGCATCAAATACCAACGTTCTGCCAGAAGTGGCTTGCATCCTTCGAGCTTGAATATACCAGCTGCAGCAATATTATACACAAAGGGAAAAAGTCCCCTTTGAAAGCAAAGATACGCCTCTGCAGCGTCCTTAAAAAATTATGCTTACCCAGTTTGTTTTAACATGACAACCTTTATGAGCATCCAGATGTGATGGGTTGGGAGTGAGCACTGTCTCTATGTTGCTACAACCTGGTGTGTTACATCACCAACACTAAAAGGACAAACAGCTTTGACAAAACAGTGTTATTCGACACCCCAAGACAGAGTTTAACCATTATTTGGTGAATCTGGAGATTCTAACAAGTATCTGTATTAATTGTGACATTTCCTGGGGGGCCGTGAATGCGTACGCATACATAGGCACAAACACAAACATATCAGACGATGGGGTATTTTCCCAGAACGGCCCGTTTGTTTTGATAAATGCTTTGCTTCCCTCCCCTCGATTCTACAGCCCAAATGTTCACATGAGTCAGTTGCCCAACTGAGGTGACACAAAGCAAATCCACCCCCCACTCTGTCTGCACTTTGGACTAAGTGCTTCAACATGTTGCAAGGGGCTCCAAAGCGCAGCGAGTCACCAGAGGAGGACAGAGATGAATGAGCGAGAAACGACCCAAAAGAGAGGGTTCAAAGACAAACGCAGAGCGTGAAGAGGGCTGAGTGTTTGTGCCGAGCGGTGCTGAGGGAGTTACCGTGCACCAGGGTCAGGAAAAGCCCAAGCGTTTCTTGAGGTAAAGGGACGCCAACACGGGACACGGAGCCACCAGCATGCAAGCGAAAAAGTCTTAATTAGAGACTGCCAGAGAGCTGTCGTTTATATTGTGCTGCAAAGACGGCGGTTAATTCATAGTTTTTGCTTCAAATTAGTCTGAATTGTTGTGCAGAGGATTTTATGAGCCACGAGATTTAAGTTAAACTGCAACCATCTGGGAGAGTAAAGGCGCTGCATTGAAGCCAGGGTCAGCAATAAGACAATAACTTTCACTGTGGTCACATTGATGTTTCTGCCTCTGAAAAACTCAAAGACATCATGATGTGTGACGAGTTCATGAATGGAGGGTCTGCAGGAGCACATTGGAGTAGCTTAACAGAATGAAAGAAGAAAATAATCTTAACAAGCAACAGTTTCCCAAAGTTAAAGACATTAAGCTCCTAAACATGACACAATCCGCATCTCCTTTGGGAACTTCCATCAGGGAGGGGGGGGAAGAAGCAAGGTAGTGGGTAAAGAGAAGGAGGAGGAGGAGGTGGGAATTAGAGTGGGGGGTCCTCCAGGCCCTGTTTCCAGATGAAAAACATCTGGGGAGGTTGACTTTACAAGCAGGCCATACAAATTAACCATCTGAGAAAAAGTGAGGCAGTAAGGGAGGAGGGGGGGGAGGGAGGGAAAAGACGTTGGGGGCTTGTAAAAGTCTGCGAAGGAGACAAAAACTTTTTCTATGACAAAGAAGAAAAAAACATTGAGCGTGGAAAGAGAAGAAGCAACAAGAGCCGCTTTTAGCCAAATCCTTCATTCATCGCATCCTACCTTCCTGAAAAGGTAGCCCGTACTCCATCGCCATGCCCCCCTCAGAGAGGAGAGCCGCCTCCTAAAAGACCCTCCTCGGTTCATCTCTGGAGAGCTCCCGCTGCCTCTCCCTGCTCTGTGTCCGGCAGTGAACTTCCCTCTAAGAAACCTCTCCCTTTTCTCTGACAGCAGAGGAGCAGAAGAAGAAGAAGGAAAGCAGAAAAAAAAAGGGCTCTATTTTGGGCCGTAGCCTGCAGCGGCCCACTACATGCTCGAGGTCGGGGCAGACTCCTCCACAGAGCTCGTATCGTTCCTTCTGTCCTCTGTGTGCTCTCCCTTCCCTCTCTTTCTCTGCCATTGGCCACCCTCCGCCTCCCACCACGTTATCTCTCTCTTCCCCCCACATTCAACTTTTCCCTCCCTCCCTCGCTCCCATGTCTCTTTCTCATCTTTGCATGGATCTAAATTGCTAAGCCTTTCCGTCTCTTTAGCCAAACATGTGGGAACTGATGCATGTTTGTAGACATAAACACACACAAGTCAGCTGAGTGGAGCTGCTCACTGCTGCACGTCCTAAGTCATAACCGTACAAATGTAACCACGTGCCTTTTTTTTTTGTGTCATCTTATCAACTTTCTCACACGAGAAGCTGAGGATCGAAGGCAGGGGGATCTGTCGGGGAAGTGAAATCAGAAAAAGAAGTAAAATGATGCAGCTTAAAAATTAATACTGATTAAAGAAAAACAGCCAAGATGTTCATAGCAGAAAAGAAAAACAAAGCTCAAGCAGAAACTGATGCAGGTCTTGTTGTCACAAGATAAATCTCTGTGATGCTCCAAGGCGATGAGGCGTGGCCAAACATCCGCCACACGTCACTGTGTAACCACACAGCAAATGCCCATGACAAGACAGCAGCAGCTGCACTTGCACACAAACAGACACTCGAGCACATACAGTCCACTCTGTACAGACATGTGATCATACAGTAAGCATAAAACAGCAACTCGTCTAATCACACACTTACGCCGAGGGTGTGATTCAGACTTTGGCCCTCGTTTAAGGTGCTGACCAAACTGTGCCGGACTGGGAAAAACTCACAAGACTTTTAAAAGACTGTCTCAAGTGACTGAAGGATAACATGGGAAACGCCAATATAAGCAGCCACACACACCATTCCCAAAAAGGCACACAGCTCTGTTTGTGTGTATTTTTGGTCCTTGTGGGGAAAGCGGGCACTCGGCTTTGGGTGGCAACTCTAAATTGGTTACTCGATCCTTCCTTTCTCAGACAAAATACAACTCGCAGGAAGTCGTGTTGGAGACAAATAGTGCCCAGTGAGTCCAAAGCAAACATGTACCGCCCTTATTTTTGAGTGCTTTGTCAGAACATCGAAATTTATTGTTTTCAAGGAGTTGGCAAAAAGAACCAACAATCATATCAACTCTTCTGAAACTCTAACAATAAAAAAAAAAAAAGTGTTTAAAATACATTACTACCCAATGCTACCTGTGGAGTCTGGGCTGAAAACCAGCATGTCCAAATACTCCAGCAGTCACAGACAAAAACGCAAGGTTTAAAAATACTGGAAGTTGTTCATATCTGCTAATGTAGCTGCAGCACTGAGCCCAGTGTTGCATGAATGCATAGACATTAGATGGTCACGCCTCAAAACTTCCATCCAGTCCATACACTGAGCCCCCAGACTGGAGGTTTGTGTCAAACAGTGTACGCAATGAAAATTGAGGGTCTCCTTGTTTCACACGTCCTTACTGATTCATATTTAGAGCTTAGAGGGGGTGAAGGAGGCATAAGTTACACTTTTGTTGTTAAGTTGTGACCGTTCATCTCATTAACCCGGTAACCCAGAGTCTAACATCTCATGTGTAAATGAACCATGCCAGCACCTTGCATAAAACAATGCAAGCTACAGCTCCACACTTGATACTCAACACAATTTATTAAACAGATAATAATATTTATCTGATCCACAACTCATTTTATAAACTCACTTTAGCTGCAGATGCTTCAGTTACATTTTAAAAGAGTTTATACTACAGTAAACAGACAAAACCTTTTTAAAAATAGTTAGCGGGCCGTGCGGCTGCCTGTGCTGGGCTTATCTCGCTCACGCTGCGTAAGCTGAACATCACTCAGATGTCGTAGTGGAGATGAAGGATGCCAGAATTCACGTGCCACAGACACTTGTCTTTTCACTAAACACATCCACAATTTTTCCCCAAAATATTTCCATGTTATGTTACCATCTAGCTTTACTCCAGAATATTTCCAATGCAAATATTGAACTTTGTAACCTGCATCATATATTTTAATATAAATCGACTAATATTCAATCGTGCAGTATTATCGATAAAGCAACAACGTGATATATTAAGTAATTAAAATCATCTACAGCTTCAACATTAAATTGATTAAACACATTATTAAATCAGCAACTATGATTCAATAAAAGCACGGACGTGAGTCAGAAGAAAGTACTTTTACTTTACGTACTTTAAGTACAATTTGAAGCTCAAACTTGTACCATTCAGTAGAATTAAGACTTTTTCTTAAGGGGCCATAGGCCTCTGCACGAGCCTCAAAAAATGCACGCCTGCTACGCTCCAGGTGCACAGGAGAAGGTGCAAACAGACTTTGCATTCCAGCACACTGCACTGGTCACATTAGCGTAGCCCAAGTGCTTCTTGGCACAGGTTGCCAATCAACGGCCTTGCAGGTAACCGCTCTATGCAGTTTTTTGTTCTACTCCAGATGTACTCGTGTCAGTCCAGCAGCTAAACTGTCTGAATATATTCTTTTAAAGAAAATAAGGACTACTTGGATGTAGGGTCGAAGGATGTGTCATACAGACACCATCTTTGGTGTTACGGGGTTCGACGATAGATTTCAACTGGGTATTATTTAATGTTTCTGTTTTGATGAATCAAAGACAACCAAAAGCAACCAAGAGTCCACTTAGCTGTTTGGTACAGTAATGTGGCTTGATGCCTAGCAAAGAACTTCCTGTTTGATATGATTTAATGTTTGTGTTCTGAAAAGATAACGTGATATCATCTGGCGCAAATATGTGTTTTTGTTGTGGACGATGGATGTGAGATATTGTTTAAAAATAGCTCATGAATGAGTGGGATTTTGATCTCAACAGGCCCTGCTGTGCATCAAGTGTAGACTTAATCTGGCTTTTCTGAAGTATTTATTATAATGAATGTCCTTCATGGCAGCTGGGAAACCATCCACTCATACTTTATACCTTTTCTACATCAAGTATGTCTGACCTCTCAGCCAAGGCTGCAGAGGCAGATCCATCAGCTCCTTCATTAGTCTAACCAAGCAAGAAGAATGGACCTGCGAAAAATCAGCAGGTAAACTCACCATGGTGTCTACATGTTTGAGAGGGAGGTCACTGCTCGGCGCCTGTTCAGAAACGACAAAAAGAGACAGACAGTGAGATCAACACCTGCCGATACGCTTCAAACAGTTGACTTTGTGAGATGTTATGTTGTGTCATCGGGTGTTTACGCTATGCTCAGAGCCATTCCTTGCCCTAATGTGGCCTGGAGTGGAGTAGAACTCCACCTTGAATGTGTGGGACCATCTATAATCCTTCTGTGCAAATATTTACACAAAGAGACAGGTCTGCTTCCATTAGCCAAGACCAGAGAGTCCAGCCGAGGAACTCTCTTTTTCAACACCATATACAGCTATGGAGAGAGAGAGAGAGAGTGTCAGGAAAGACAAAGGAGAGGAAAAAAGGGGCACTGTGGGACAAGAAACCAGAAGAAAGTGGTGGGAAGGGGTTGATGGACATGCTAAGAGCAATCTGTGACGTCATGAGCTTGTGTGGGCTCCACTAACCTCAGACTAACACACACATGTGCATGGAACTAAATGAGGCCTAAAATGCATCATAGCATTTGAAGATCCACGCTGCTGTGGATTTTTATGCAGAGATGTTCATTACCTGACTGTTTCAATACCAGTACAAAAAAAAAAGAAGAGTCCAAAGTTTCAATACTCTGCACTGAAAGTTGGGTTTGCTCATTTTTTCACATTTTTTCATGTTCTGGAGATCATGAGCCTGTTCGGACTTTAGACAGCATTAGGGTAAATAGCAGGAAGATCTGAACTTTAAATACTGGCAGTACCAGTTGCTGCATATCATTCTGCATCTCTCAATCCCTAAATGTCCTCTTTCTCTTCACTCTAAGTATGGAAAAATATCTTTTTAAATTCTCAAAACCATGGAAATAACCTAAAAAACACCCACACATTAGTCCTGTTTTTGGTAACAGAGCTGATACCAGAGAACAAAAAGCAATGTCCTCTCTGTAAATGCCATTAAAAGTCAAGAACAAGGAAAAATACGACTAATTCTCAGTGAATTACAATAAAAAGACCAAAAATCCATCTTTGTCTGCCTCGTGCACAGATATAGATTCTCTTCATCACACCGAAGACACTCAAGTTCTGTAACATTAAAGTTTGCCTTTAGTTTCATTGAAATTATATTTTTCAAATTTTTATATTTTTTTAACTATTGTAAAAATTAAATTGTGAAATTCTGGCCCAAAGTTTAAAATAGGGAACAGTTTTATTAGGTGACCAACATGTTTTTGCTTGTGGCCTTCATCAGGGTCCAAGTTGAAGGCCGAAGCGCGTTAGTCACCTAATAAAGCTGTTCCCTTTACTTTAAGTGTTGCTGGAGTCTTCACGTCATCAGATCTTTGTCTTCTTCATGCACCTTGGAAGGAGGTTAAGTTGTGCCATGCCATTATGTGTATAACATAATATATTTTTGTCAGTCTTTTTATTTTGTTATTATTGCTATTTTTCCCACTTTATTTCCTGGGAAACAAAGAATCTTTCCTATAAATATAAGGAAGTCGTTCAGCTGTTCATGACAATTTTAGAACCTTTAGCCGGACAAAGACCAAACAGACATGAAGAGCATGCTGACACAGCTGGGCATCTCCACAAAAAAATCTATTTTTGTGAATTGATTATTCATCACAGAAGATATCAAATGTGAGTCAAAGTTGAGCAGTGTGGCTCACTGAGGTGGTCTTTATCACTGCTGACCAACAACGTAGCCAAGACACAAAGAAACAAACGTCGGGCTGTGGTTACACACACTTCATTAGTGCCAGGTAGTGGATCACCGTTAGCTTGGGAATTTGACGACAATGCAAAAAGCATGGTAAAGTAACAGCACGTCACCCTTCAAATACACTGATGAGAAAACATATGATTGCAGCGCTTCATTCTTTAATCCTGCTTGGTAGTGATCTCTGCAGAGTCCCACACAGAGAGCTGGGCTGCGACACCCAGGACGATCTGCTTCTGTAGAAACTTTCAGTGGAACATAAACAGCAAATGTAAACTGTTAATTACAGTCTGAGCGTGCAGGCCCTAGAATACAGACTCCAAACACTCAGACTAAACCGCCAAGCAGGGAGAGCACGAGAGACCTACAGTCACTGGAGTCTGCTCCAAACTGCAGCATTTATGTCTGAAAGGGATTAAATTATCAGCATCGTGACTACATTTCTCTCTGTTGTACATGCAGACAGATGTTGTTTCTAAGAATGAAGGACAAGGAAACAGCAGGCTAATGTTTGAGATTCTAAATGCAGACTGTGGATTTCACTGCAAGGCCAAAATTTGCAGCCGCAGGCATTTTCACACAAATGGAGGCCATTGTGTGTAAACCCAGAAAAACACACAGAGACACAAACAATTCTCACAATGATATATTCGAACATGTGCATTTCCGCTTTGCAAGATTGCAGCCAGATGGCTGTTTTGCATCCATGTGCACATCGTCGCTTAGAGATGCAAATAATTCAGAGAGCACGAGAAAGCCGGAGAAGTTTTGTATCAGCAAAACAGCCGACAGAGGAAGTGTTTGCAGTTTGTGTCAGTAATCTTCAAAAGAAGCATTTGAAGGGGGGCTTTGATACAGACATTACCATTTTTTTTTCTTAAATCAGGGCAATTCTTGCAGGCTGTGCACAATAAATGTCACAATTTAATTTTGAAACAAGAAACAGACGAAGCTTTCAGAAACTCCAAGACCCAAATGATTAAAAGCTTTAAATTAAACCTAAATTATCTGTCCCAGCTCAGAATTTCAGATTCAAGATCAAGAGGTCAAGTCTTCAAGCCCAGGACTGTGTACGTATTCACAGTGAAGGAAAGGCCAACCACTATCTTCTTTAAGACTAGATGTTTACCTGTTGTTCCTGGGTATTTAAAAGCAGAATTAGGAAATGGGCAAAACATTAAGCTTTCAGGCCCGTGTTCTGTGGAACCAGCTCCCAGTCCAGGACTCATCTTGTTGGGGTCTAGTCGTTTTTTGTTTTGTTTTTTTTTTTTTGGGGGGGGGGGGCACTATACTATACTAGTTTTATTTGCAGTCCTTATGATGACATAGTAAGCTCTTAAGGCTGCAGCTTTAGTGCATCATGCTGTGTCATCCTGCCACATGTCTGTCAGCAGGAGCCTCTGCTGAATCAAGCCAAGCAACAAGTTGATCTGAAGCTCTCATTCGAGACGTGTTCGTATCGTTTCTTTTCTAAATCAAGAACAAAGCAGATGTAATAATTTTATTTATTTGAAGCTACAGTTTAAAACTTCAGGATCTGATTAAAGCAAGAAGCTGTGGAGGATAGTAATGCATACCAGAATCCTGAATCTACTTTATAGCGAGACAGTTGTGTTTCTCATTTTTAATCACATTGGCCCATGTGACAGGGGTGCAAACTTGCAGAATTTTAACTCTTAGCTGGCCTCCCTGTGCACACCGAATGAATGTGCTGTGGTCTGACAGCACACAACCGCAGGGCAGACTGCAAAAAACTCTTCAAACATAATCGTGATTAAACATAATTACAACAGATGCGAGAATAAAGACGAGAGCAAAACAAACACTCCTCTGTGGCCAAGAGCTTTGCAGCACCTGCGAGGCCAGCGTAAACACAAACCTCACAAGTATGTTAGTGTGCCCTTCTAATCGTGCCTCATGTGCCATTTCCATACAACTATTAGTCTGAGAGTGAGCCTTTGAACTTGAAATCATTTTCATCAAAGATTTTCAGATTTTGTGCCTCCATTGCGCATCTCTTGCTCAGAGCTATGTCATCATCGTGAACAAAGTCAGCTGAGGCTCATGAGAGGGGCTAAATGCAGGCCGTTGCTCTCCCACAGATCTACAAAATATTACAGCTTTGGCTTAAAAGGAAAACAAATTCAGTATGCCTGGTTTCAGAGTGAGGATATCTGGGAGGTTTCCCCAGTGTCTTTGGTTAATAATAATGATAGAGATTAGTTCCAGAGCTGCTAACAGCTACATTCTGTCAACATTCATTGATCTACATGTCTCCAAACTGAACAACCTGTGTCACTTTTCTACTCCATGTTAGTTTAGAATACTTGCGCATCACCTATAACACTAGACCAAAGATTTGGCAGACTTTGCCAGAATGCCAACAGCTGACAAAAAAGTAGAAAGCTCGGCGTGATTAAACTGTTGTTTCATCCAAGGTCCTTTTATACTGACACGGTTCTTGTGTTCCAGATGGTTTCTATCAAGCATCGCAACCAAAATGAAAGACAGGCTGTAGGCTCAAAGTAAGTCAGGTGTTTGTATATTACAACAGTCAATTTAGACCTCAGACCTCCCCTTCCTCCTCCTGCTTTACTCACATTGCGGAGCAACGGTAGCTGCTATGGGAAAAGAAGCATTGTTATAAAATCTGCGGCCACTAACTACATGTTGGAGAAGTGATCTAATTTAGTTTCAAATCTGTGTTGCTTTAAATAGTTAGAGAAAGAAAGGTTTGATGCAGCACAGATGGGCAGAGGCAAATTAAAGGAATCATAATAAAATGCTTTCTAATGTTATATAATTACATATATTCTGTTTCTGAATCATCTGTTCTTCCCATTTAATATCAGATCAGACTGCCTCACGGCTCGTAACGGCTTTGTTTTGGTGGTATAAGTAAAAGTTATTATACCTGAAATGAATCTCAGTGCAGAGGAGAACTCAATGGAAACATTAGCCAGAGTTAAAGCAGAAAGTCTTTCTGTTCTCTGCAATGTTTACAGCACAGACTGTATATAGAAGATGGATGTTGCTACTGTGACATCACCACATGGTTGGCTAGGTGTCACTGTGAAACCTTGAGCTGAGTATTTTGTTGTTTGGAAGCCATATCTGCCAAATAGGATTGCAGGGACACAACAGACCATCATTTAGAAAATGAATATCATCTTCTATGGTAGAAGACTTGAAAATAAAGATTGAAATCATAAACTCATCAGTAAAGTCTTTAATAAGGTTGTAAATCTAGGGAGCCAATTTTCCCACAGATTTCTATACAGCTAGAGTCGCCCCCTGCTGGCTAGCAGAA